TCATGCCTTCCAATAGATTAATTCCTCACTTTCAGAAAAAAGTGGCGATACAGAACATAGAACAAGAAAGTAATTTAGACTTGCCTCAGCCTATGGTTTAAATGACTTCGCTCAACTCCTAAAGCATCTTGATCAAAAAATCCCATCCATTGACATGTGTTGAAATGAGTGGCTTGATCAAAGCCTGAGGTCAGCACTTTGTTGCAGAGTTTGCCATCTGTTCATTACTGTCATGCAAGGAGCACACCAGCTTGCTGCTGGAATGGTGTGAATTGTGACACTGCTGGCACACACACTTAGGAGCCCTGTTATAGTATTGATAATTTTGTGAGAGAAAAGGAAGAATTTGAGCAGTTTGTCACTTATACCTCCAATGAACTATAAATGTTAATGGTGGTGTGAGCATTGGGGTTGTCTGAATTTTCAAAGTCGTGCTACATTTAGGTAAGAACTGTGAAGTCAGTTCTAAAATAAATATTAAAAAAACTCAAAAGTGTTTTTAGAATATGGAGGAACATCTCAGTAGTAGGTCAGTAATTCCATAGAGAAATTTTAGTTTTTTGGTGAATTAATGCATCCTGTAAATATTGCATGAAAAGGTAACCATTGCCTCCCTATGACTGTCTCTGGATTGTAGTGGTACCATTTTGTAACATTTATTAAAAAATATCACAAAGCCATCAAAATTACCAGCTTCTTGTGTCATGCACTATAATCTCCTAATGCCTGAAATGTAGGAAGAACTTTCTGTAAAATTTCTCACTATGCTAAAAAATTCCTCTTCTAAGTCCTTCTCCATTCACATTTTATGAGGTTTACTTTTTTTCAGCTCACACTTTCAAATTGCTTTTTTTTTTGTCCAAGGCAGCAGTTTGTGCTTAGAAAGCTTTTGCATGTCATTGCTGCTTGTACCTCAGGAAAATGATCTATCACTACATCTCAGTCCTCCAAAATTATAGATTTGCCTGTTAATAAGGGAACTCTTGCACTCACATAAATAATTTTAGGGAAAAGTCTATTTTATACCCATATATAACTATCTCTTCCTTAAATCTTGAAAAAGAAATTTGCTATTATAGTTACCTACTTTTAGATGTAAAATCCACACTTAATTATGATTATGATTGTACAATAAATAACATTACTACTTTGCCAACGTAAAAAAATGCATTTTTTTAAAATCAACATGCAGTGATTATGAAAGACAGCATGAGATTTATTTCTACAGATTTTGCAGCATGACTCATTCATAATAACGTTCCATTCTTCCAACAAAAATCAGCTAAAAATTATTCCGTCATAGAAAAGAATATTTTGAATACACTTGGCACATCTAACACAAATTTATAAATTATTTTTTTCTAGAGTTGCATTTTGCACTTGTATTGCACATCTTAAAAAAAATAAATTTGGTGACCTCATAGACACCACTGATGTCAAGATCATGTCACAGTTGTGACTGAATACAATAATTGCTGGGCATTGGAAAGGAGTAAGAGAGCAGATTTCCTATATAGCAGCATGTGGAAAGTATTAATTAGAAGTTATTAGGAACCTAATCTGAGAGTCATTTAGGAAAAGTCAGGTGAAACCATTTCAAAGAGGAAATGAAATATGAATGCCTCTCTGCTTCCCTCTTCTATCATTAAACACTCATTACAAGACATGATTAAGCAAAGTGTTTGAAATCCTGCAATGTGTTCCCTCAGTCTGTGCAGCAGCGGGTTAAAGATCGTTCTGCAGTAGATTGAGCCATCTAATGAGATGGTCTGATAAAGATTTCAAGCAGAAGGAATTGTGTTCTTCAAAAATCCTTAGAGACTGAATTCTCTTCTGTGTTCAGATTTATTTTTTTTTGGGAAGACAGAAAATGATGAATTCCTATACAAACCCATTCATCCCTGAAGGAAATTAGCTTTGTAAGGGGCAGGGGTCAGGAAACTGGAATTCTCTATTCAGGATTCACCAGTAAGAAAATCTGTTCAAGGTATTTCATTATAGCTTTGGCAAGAATGAGGGGAAAAATAAACCTTTTTCTCATTCTTGAGGAAATCTTGCAAAGATTTGCTGCAACAGCAAAGCAGTGCTCTGAAGCATCATCAGGGAGACCTGAATTTTTCCTGTGAGCCGTTGAGAGTTCTTAAGGTGGGGAGATGAAGGTCTGATGAGACAGTTCCTATTGGGGCTCCTGTTTCAGCAGGCTGTGGATGGAAGTGGAAATCTCTGCTTATCTCCTCACTGATCCATTGAAGCCTTCAGTTGTTCACTGATCATCTTTGAGGGCAACTTCAAAAAGTTACTGTGGTTAGTAGGAGTTAATGGTTTGATTCCCCAGTGCATTAGAGGTTTGGGGTTTTGTATTACAAACAAGGCAAAAGCAAGCTGCTATGGGATCCAGTGGGGGAAATATTCCCTGGAAGTCACTTCAGTGACACTTCTGGCTGCAGTAACTTCTAACCATGGCTGTAAGAAACACAACCAAGGAAGAAAGGATGCACTTTGGATTCCTTCCTCAAGAAATCCTTTAAAAAAGGATGTCCTCTGTGGCCTGCTACAGGATTATAAACCAGACTTCAGCCTACTTGGCTGATAGCGACACCTGGTTCCCATTTACCAAGCCTGTGGAAAAGGGATCACTCCATAAACACCACGTCCTTGATGTCTCCAGTCACAAGTCTGACACATTAAAGCCTCCTCAGAGCTGGTGCTGCCTTTCCTCTCCAAATCTACTCTGTCCTTACATCAAATCACAGATTTAAATCTCATGGTGTAGATGTAAATAAGTTACTTCTCTTGGAAGTTGCTAATTTCTGCACAAGATATGTAAATCTTTTGAAGAGTAATCATAAGAAGGGAAATGTGTGTTGCTGTCCTGTACAGCTGCAAGGGAACATTTTTAATCCAGTTATTTTTATTTTCTATGTTATCTTCTATTTTTGCTACATTAAACAATCCAAAGCATTCAGGTTGGCTTCCACTTGGTACCACATACTTGTTAAGATATAGAATCGAAGGAAACTAAAAAACAACCACTTAAACTGTCTGCTAAAAATAAAGTTTCTTCTTGTAATATTGTAAGGTTTTTAACCACTTTATTACAAAAATATCGTAAGTAACTGACATTAAAAGTTTTATTTTTAAAAAAAATTAAATTTAAAATTTTAAAATATGAAAAAAATTATTTTGCATTTCTTCTCATTCTCCTCCAACTAGGACAAAAAGACCTGTGCATTCAGCTCTAAAAACTCATCAATACAAACCTAAGGAAAAAAGGTATTCAAGGAGCAGACATTCTCCTGGTATATAACTTAATTCACAGCTTACTCAGAATTTATGAAGAAAAGAGCTTTCACTGTCTCACATACGCAACAGCCACTTCAGTATAAAAATTTTGTCTAAAACTGAAATTATTCAGTCTCAGATGCGCCAATGAAACAGACATTTCTGCTAAACATTTGCAACAATTATTTTTTGAATGACATTCAGAGATAAACCAAGAAAATATAAAAGTCCCAAATCAATATAAAGGTTTTTAAAAAGCATCAGCCTTTAGTTAAGAGTTTTCAGTTGCTGGCAGCAGCAGCAAACTTTTATTTTTTTCTGGAGAAGCCCTTTTGTCTTTCTCACCATTACCTTAAGAGCTGTATCCCATCTTCCTCTCCAAATGATATTCATATTTCCAGATTTTTCCTAAGAGCTGTTTACAGAACAAGAATTCCACTTGACTAAGATTCTGAGAATTTAAAATATGGATTTGCTCTGATTCTAAAAGAAAACATACAGAAAACACAAAAGAAACCCCATAAAGGAAATACGTTTGGCCAAAGACAATTTGTTTTGCTCCAAGCAGATGATTTTTTAACTTTATATTTGGTATTACAACACCAAATATATCCCATATAATATTATACTATATATATATAATATATAGGAAATAGATAATATGGGTATTATCTATTAAAAAAAAAAAATAAAACTTGTTATAAAAAAAGTTATAAGGTTTGTAACATGTTTTAACATAGAATAATGAAGGTTTCCAGGTGTCCTGGTTTAGGGCAAATTTGGGAGAAAACCTCCAATGGGGCTCCCCCCGGGAAGCAAACCCACGTGGCCCTTTTCTCCCACCCCCCAACCAATTCGGGAAGAGATTTCTCTGAGAGAAGTGGAAAAAACCTGTTTATTTAACAGGCAAAGCACTACCCAGCACAAGAATGAACAATATCAAATTACAAAACCTCTCACCGCTCTGGAGATGACAAACTTCAGAGGGTCTCTTTCCTGTGGGTGTTCACTCTGTTATCAGTCCCTCTGGTGCTGGAAAATGCCGCTGCCCAGGCTGGGCTCCCGGTAGTCCACAGGTGCAAGCTCCCAGTGCTCCCCTGAGTCCCCAGTCCAGAGCAGGTTTGATCCATTCCAAGGAAAGGGAAAGAAAACAGTCCAGGAAGACCTCTCTGCTCTGGCTAGCTGGAAAGCCAAGGCGATCTGATCGTCCCTTGTTGCCTGTCTGTGCTGTAGTCAAAACCCCGTCCCGGGATCTGGGGGGAGCAAGTACAGTCTCTGATAACAGACTCGGTGCTTCTTCTCCACTCACTTTTACTCTTAGATGAAATTTTAAGAATACAAAACCTGTGTCTGGGTTAGGTGGACGAATGGGGATACAATTTAACATCATCAACCCAAGACATTCCACCCCTTATCCCCATATCATCGACTTACTGCCAAAACTAACATTCTAACTCTGCACACATTTACATACATAAAAACTTCCCCTCCATTCCACCGGAAAAATACAAGCAATATATCCATCATGCCCCTGTCATGCCCCACACTAAGCTACTGAATCCAGACCCCCATGCTGGAGAGCTGCAGGATTCCCCACTCTCTCATTTTACTCACTCAAAACACCCTCTTTCACTTGCTCATACCTTCAACACTTACACATTTCCTTCTATTTCATGTCTGTGTGGTTTAATGTACAGACAATGGCAGTAACCTTTTACCCAAGGATCAGGTCTCCCTGAGGTACACACTGTGTTGTTCCATCTCTCTGCATTATCCACCATGTACAACCTGGTCCTTGAGCAAAGACAAGCCCACGAATGGGTTTGTCTGTGCTTGAGGTAGAATTGACCCAAACTGTCTTCCCTAGCAGACCTCTGACATGTACCACTGGGACTTTCTCTCCGTCTACTACATGCAAAGACTCAGACTGGGCAGGACCTGCTCGGTTGGTGGAACCTCTGGTGTTGACTAACCAGGTGGCCTTTGTTAGATGTTGCTCCCAGTTTTTAAAAGATCCTCCACCCAGTGCCTTTAAGGTGGTTTTTAACAGTCCGTTGTCCCTCTCCACTTTCCCAACAGCCGGTGCATGGTAGGGGATATGGAACACCCACTCAATGCCATGTTCCCTAGCCCAGGTGTTTATAAGGCTGTTCTTGAAATGAGTCCTATTGTCTGACTCGATCCTCTCAGGGGTGCCATGCCTCCAAAGGACCTGCTTTTCAAGTCCCAGGATGGTGTTCCGGGCAGTGGTGTGAGGCACAGGGTAGGTTTCCAACCATCCAGTGGTGGCTTCTACCATTGTGAGCACGTAGCGCTTGCCTTGGCGGGTTTGGGGCAGTGTGATGTAGTCAATCTGCCAGGCTTCCCCATACCTATATTTGGACCAAAGCCCACCGTACCATAGCGGCTTCAACCGCTTGGCCTGCTTGATCGTGGCACATGTCTCACAGTCATGGATAACCTGGGAAATACTGTCCATGGTTAAATCCACCCCTCGGTCTCGTGCCCACTTATAGGTAGCATCTCTGCCCTGATGACCTGAGGCGTCATGGGCCCATCGAGCTAGGAACAACTCTCCCTTATGTTCCAAATCTAAATCTATTTTTGACACTTGTATCTTTGCAGCCTGATCTACCTGCTTATTATTTTGATGTTCCTCATTAGCTCTGCTCTTGGGGACATGGGCATCTACGTGGCGGACTTTCACTGGTAGTCTCCCTATCCTGGTAGCAATATCTTTCCACTCTTTAGCAGCCCAAATTGGTTTTCCTCTATGCTGCCAATTAGCCTCTTTCCACCTCTCCAACCATCCCCACAGAGCATTGGCTACCATCCATGAATCTGTGTAGAGGTAGAGCTTTGGCCACCTCTCTCTTTCAGCAATGTCCAGGGCCAGATGAACAGCTTTGAGTTCAGCAAGTTGGCTTGATCCACCTTCTCCTTCAGTGGCCTCTGCGACCTGTCGTGTGGGGCTCCATACGGCTGCTTTCCACTTCCGGTTCATCCCTACAATGCGACAGGAACCATCAGTGAACAGAGCATAGCGTGTTTCTTCTGCTGGCAGCTGGTTATATGGTGGAGCTTCTTCAGCCCTTGTCACTTCCTCTTGTTCTTCATCTGTGAGACCAAAATTTTCACCTTCAGGCCAGTTTGTAATTATTTCCAAAATCCCAGGGCGATTCAGTTTACCAATACGGGCGCGCTGCGTGATAAGAGCAATCCACTTGCTCCATGTGGCACTGGTTGCATGATGGGTGGAAGGAACCTTTCCCTTGAACATCCATCCTAGCACTGGTAGTCGGGGTGCTAGGAGGAGTTGTGCTTCAGTGCCAATCACTTCAGAGGCAGCTTGGACTCCTTCATAGGCTGCTAAAATTTCTTTTTCTGTTGGGGTGTAGTGGGCTTCGGACCCTCTGTAGCTTCTACTCCAAAATCCTAATGGTCGGCCTCGAGTCTCCCCAGGCACTTTCTGCCAGAGGCTCCAGGACAAGCCATTGTTCCCAACTGCAGAGTAGAGCACGTTCTTCACATCTGGTCCTGTTCTGACTGGGCCAAGGGCTACTGCATGGGCGATCTCCTGTTTGATCTGAGCAAAGGCTTGCTGCTGCTCAGGGCCCCAATGGAAATTATTCTTCTTCCGAGTGACCAGGTAAAGAGGGCTCACAATCTGACTGTATTCAGGAATATGCATTCTCCAAAACCCTATGGCACCTAAGAAAGCTTGTGTTTCCTTCTTATTAGTTGGTGGAGACATTGCTGTGATTTTGTTGATGACATCAGTAGGAATCTGACGCCGTCCATCTTGCCACTTTACCCCCAGGAACTGGATCTCACGAGCTGGTCCCTTAACTTTGCTCTTCTTGATGGCAAAACCAGCTTCCAGGAGGATCTGGATGATTTCCTTTCCTTTCTCAAACACTTCTGCTGCTGTGTTCCCCCACACAATGATGTCATCTATGTACTGTAGATGTTCTGGAGCCTCACCCTTTTCCAGGGCAGCCTGGATCAGTCCATGGCAAATGGTGGGGCTGTGCTTCCACCCCTGGGGCAGTCGGTTCCAGGTGTACTGCACTCCCCTCCAGGTGAAGGCAAACTGAGGCCTGCATTCTGCTGCCAGGGGAATGGAGAAAAATGCATTAGCAATGTCAATAGTGGCATACCACTTCGCTGCCTTGGACTCCAGCTCGTACTGGAGCTCCAGCATGTCCGGCACGGCAGCGCTCAGAGGTGGAGTCACTTCATTCAATGCACGATAGTCCACAGTCAATCTCCATTCTCTTTCAGATTTACGCACAGGCCAGATGGGGCTGTTGAAGGGTGAGTGGGTTTTGCTGACCACCCCTTGGCTCTCCAGCTCTCGGATCATCTTGTGGATGGGGATCACAGCATCTCGAGTTGTTCTATATTGTCGGCGGTGCACCGTCGAGGTGGCAATTGGTACTTGCTGTTCTTTCACCTTCAGAAGTCCTACTGTAGATGGATTCTCGGACAGTCCAGGCAAGGTGTTCAGTTGCTGGACACCCTCTGTCTCCACAGCTGCTATCCCAAATGCCCACCTGAATCCTTTTGGGTCTTTGAAATACCCACTTCGGAGGTAATCTATGCCCAAAATGCATGGGGCCTCTGGGCCTGTCACAATGGGGTGTTTCTTCCACTCATTTCCCGTCAGGCTCACGTCTGCTTCCACCAAGGTAAAATCCTGTGATCCCCCTGTCACGCCAGCAATAGAAACAGATTCTGCCCCTACATGTCTTGATGGGATTAGCGTGCACTGTGCACCAGTGTCAACCAAGGCCTCATATCTTTGTGGTTCTGATGTGCCAGGCCAACGAATCCACACAGTCCAAAAAACACGATTTTCCCTAGCCTCTACCTGGCTAGAGGCAGGGCCCCTCTAAGCCTGGTTATCCTTCTTTCCTTTGGTATATGTCTTGGATGTTCCTTCAAGGGGATCGGACATGTCATCATCATCATACCTGGCAGTTCGGCTACGTGCAACTGGAGCTGCTTCCCTTTTGGTGGAACTTCCTTTGTGACTCTTCTCCTCCTTCAATTCACGCACCCGTTGTGCCAGAGCTGCAGTAGATTTCCCATCCCATCTCCTCATGTTCTCTCCGCAATCACGCAGGAAGAACCACAGCTCAGCTCGTGGGGTATACCTTCTCTCCCGATCGGGGGAACGTCTGCGTTGAGTGCCAGGACCTCTGATCTGTACTGCTGAGATTTGGAGAAGGTCCTCTTTAATCTCATCTCTAAGTTTCTTGTGATTCTCCTCTATCTTATCCTCTAATTTCTGCAGACGTGTTTCCACAGCTGCAATTCTTGCATGTGTGGGGCCATGCACGGCATCTGCGTATGCTCGAAGCTTCTTCGCCATATCCAGCACGGTCTCCTCCCTTTCATCCCGTTTCATCATTGCTAAAGCAGATGCATATTCTTGTGGCCCAAGTCGTACCAATTTTCGCTACATCACGGATGTACATGGCACCAAGTCTGGATTCTTAGTTGGTATGTCATCTGAAAAAACACTCTCTGCCACTGCCATTTCTCTCAGGCGTTGGATCCCTTGTTCGATGGTTTTCCACTGCATTTGCTGCATGTAGAGATCATCTACACACAGATATCTTTGGGCTGCACTTTCCAGGACCAGTGCCCAGAGACTGCGAGGGTTAGCCCCCCTCATCATCCCCTGGTCAATAACTGGATCATGTGACAGGGATCCCAGATGCCTCGCTTCAGTGCCATCTAGAACTGTAGCTTCACCTGCGGCATCCCACAGACGGACTAACCAACTAATTATAGATTCATCAGGTCGTCAAGTGTAGTCCTTCCTCAGGGCCACAAAGATCTTTCAGGGAAAAGGACTCAATATTAGCCTCTGATCTTGTGCCAGTTGCTTTGACTCTTGGTTTTGTGTCAGGAGGCGTTGAGGGTCCTTCTCCTGTATCAACATCATCATCCACTGGTAGATTGGTTTTGTCTGTGCACTTTCCACTTCTCGTGCTAGTAACAACAGCCATTGGTTGAGGCTTGCTGTCTGGTTTAGCTACTAGCTTTGTAACTGGGAGGTTGGCTGCAGCCTGAGTAATTGGGGTAACTGTTGATTTATCTCCCTGTTCCCTTTCTCCTGTTTCCTGCCCTACAGTATCTAGCAATGTATGATAAGCATATGCCAGGGCCCAGCTTACTGCAATGATCTTTTTTTCCTTGGAATCATCCTGACACTTCTCTTTCAGGTCTCTTTCAATCCCCACCTCATCTGGATTCAGAATTTGTTCATGTGGAAAGTCCCAAACTATAGGGTCAGAAAATTCCTTCAGGATTTGGCCCATATCCTCCCATTCTCCACCCCACTCAGGATTTTCCATGCTTGGTTCAGTGGTCTCATCAGTCCCTCTAGAAATCTTAGCCTTCATTCTAGAGAGGCTGAAGACTGTATAGAGGAAACTTACCAGATTAAATGCCAGAAAGTTGGTCTCTTTAACATTCAGGGGAAACTGAACACTCTCCAGTAGTGATGTAACCGATTCAGAGGAGAAGAAGGAAAGGAAAGGTTGAAAAACCTCATTCCCTGCTCCTCCTCTAACAAACTGGGTGCCTAACCATACCCATGAATCCTTTATATTTGGAACAGACTCCAGCACCTGAATAAACTTCTTAGAAATCATAATCACTAGGCCCAGCCCAATAGCTATTCTAATCCGTGCCCCTCTACTGTAGAAGCTATGTGTTAGGGACAATACCGGGGCTAGTTGTGGATAAGAAAATAAACCAAGGGACCATAAAGGTATTAAAACCTCAAAAAAGCCTAGCGACCAGAAACACATGAAGGCCTGCACCCCAAAAGACATTATTAATTCAAGCAGCATGGCTGGATGGCTAGGGACTGCTTTATCTTATCCCAATACAAAGTAATTGCCACTTCAATACAATCAGTACAGGGTTTTTCCACTCTCTCGTGCCACACGTTGGGCGCCAATGAATGTATTTGTCCTGGTTTAGGGCAAATTTGGGAGAAAACCTCCAATGGGGCTCCCCCCGGGAAGCAAACACACGTGGCCCTTTTCTCCCACCCCCCAACCAATTCGGGAAGAGATTTCTCTGAGAGAAGTGGAAAAAACCTGTTTATTTAACAGGCAAAGCACTACCCAGCACAAGAATGAACAATATCAAATTACAAAACCTCTCACCGCTCTGAAGAGATAACAAACTTCAGAGGGTCTATTTCCTGTGGGTGTTCACTCTGTTATCAGTCCCTCTGGTGCTGGAAAATGCCGCTGCCCAGGCTGGGCTCCTGGTAGTCCACGGGTGCAAGCTCCCAGTGCTCCCCTGAGTCCCCAGTCCAGAGCAGGTTTGATTCGTTTCAGAAAAGGGAAACAAAACAGTCCAGGAAGACCTCTCTGCTCCGGCTAGCTGGAAAGCCAAGGCAATCTGTCCCTTGTTGTCTGTCTGTGCTGTAGTCAAAACTCCTGATGCGGGGGGAGCAAGTACAGTCTCTGATAACAGACTCGGTGCTTCTTCTCCACTCACTTTTACTCTTAGATGGAATTTTAAGAATACAAAACCTGTGTCTGGGTTAGGTGGACGAATGGGGATACAATTTAACGTCATAATCAACCCAGGACACCGGGCCATTTTCCTATCTTCAGATGTTGTTTTTTTTTCTTGAAACACATTTCTAAGAATAAACCCTTGTTTTTAATTGAGGATTTTGATTTAATTTGAACCTTGAAGAAATAGCTGTGATGCATTTCCTACCTGCCTCAGTAAGGAAATCTTGTCACTGTGGGGTTGGTGTGAATCAAAGATTTAAAGAAATCAAAGAGTTAAGAG